TGCAAAGCCAACCTCGCTCTTGATACAAGGCAAGGTCTTGCAGTCTTGGGAGCAGGCAGAGCAGCACAAACGTGTTTCCCTTGACTTAACCCTTGACTTAGCATTGTTGATAAAAAGCCTCCTGACAATGACACCTTGTGTTGGAAATACCTGAAGGTCCTGTTCAAATGCTCTTCTTAACTAATTCATTCCTGTTTGTTTGGGTTTTTTTAAAAAATAAAAAATAATCATGTGTAGAAAATCTAAGTAGGACAGGAAACTGCTGTAGTTTCTTGCTGCAATTATGTTTACTGTCCTTTTTGTGGAGTTTTAATTATGCCATTGTATTTTGTCATAGTTTCATATTGTGACTGCCCTGGGGATATACAGTTTCATGAAGGGCATGCAAATGCCATAAACTTATGGCGTGTAAATGCCGTAAACTGATTGTTCAAGAGATATCTAAAAGTTTTGCAGTTCAACTCCTATGGGTCATGCCACACTATCTTGCAGCTTGCCTGTAGCTCTGCCCAAACGTGCAGTTGTGAATACAAATGAACAGGGAGGGCAGAGGTTGTCAATGTGGTGGCTGTGAGTGCCCATGTACCCACAAAGCCCTTCCTGGTACCACAAGGTCCCCTTCTCTCCCCCCCCCCCCGTGAAATTTGAAAGGATTCTGCTGTAGCCGATAAAATAGGGGTTGGCACGGAGGTGATGCCCATAATAATCTCTCCAGTCGGCAAATGTGCCCATGGGTCCAAAAAGATTGGCAACCACTGACATAGTGGCATGAAAATGCAGTACCCCCACCCCACTCACAGTTCATTATCTACACAGGGCTTGTGTTCAGTACTGTAATGGAGAAGGGGCAACCTTTTGAGATGTTTCCAACATGCCTTAAACAGGTTTTAGGCAGCCTATTAGATTTGGTTGGGATGTGGAGGATAATTACTTCCAGTATCACCAGAGCTGATTAAGCATGCTACAAAATATGGACTTCATCCTATAGAAGATAATTGGCTCCAGTATGATTTTCCTGCATATAATGGAGTTCTGAGTATTTCCTCATTAGCATGTTTGCTTTAAGCTTCAGGATTTCTTTAAATCTAAATTTTAGCTCTTTGGGGAACCACCAAGGATCCTAAACAGAGCATTCAGAAAAACTTCCAAATGCATTTTATGCCACCCACCAACACCTCCTGATGCCGCCTCATTCTTCAATCACATGAGAGTTTCATCCTTCTCTTTTAGTTCCTCCTTATTTTTGAGATTTTTTTTCCTTGAGGGTGACCTCCCCCCCCCCCCGCTTTTCTGTGTAGTTTCATCTGGAACAACTGAAGATGCAGTATTTTATTCGATAATAAATTAATTGACAGTTGTGCTTTTTAGAAATAAAAATCAACCTGCTTGCTTGCCTTTTTCAATTCACGTGATACACTCACACAACTGCGGTAAACAGACATTGCACAAAAGGAAATAACTGGAGTACGTGTCGGTCGGAAATCCTTATTGAAATAAAGAGCAAAAGAAAAGGCAGAACCTCAGAGTGGGAGATGAAGTGCAGCGGGGCGCGGGTTTGCTGGTTCACAGCGCTGTCTTTTTGCGCTGCTTGCGCGCATCAGCTGCCCGGAGGAGAGGGAGGAAGAGGGCGCCTTTACCTTTCCGATCGCGGTCAAGGAGCAGCGCATTGCCCAGCAGCGGGTACCAGGGACGGATCCCCGGGATGTGCTTCAGCTCCTTGTATTTCCAGTACTGGTCGAGCACCAAGCGGGCGAGCAAGACAGCCAGCAGCGTGGCGAGCGCGGCGAGCAGGGCAAGCGCCCAGGAGAAGAGCCGCGCGCCCTCCGGAGCCATCGCCCAAAAGCCTATCGTCGCCGAGCGCGGACGGCGTCGCTCTGCTCCGGGAAGCGGGACGTTTTGCTGAGAAAAGAAGCCCCGGGGCGAGAGGAGGAGGCGGAGCCGGCGAGGGGCAGGACTGCGAGAGGGGAGATGGAGGTCACGGGAGGGAGAAGCGGGCAGGGCAGAGAAGGGCGGGATGCGCTCCGTCTCCGTCGAAACAGGATAGTGGCATGGAGGTGATAGGCGAGGATAAAAGGAGCGGGCATTTCTCAATACAGTGGTACCTCGGGTTACATATGCTTCAGGTTACATACACTTCAGGTTACATACTCCGCTAACCCAGAAATAGTACCTCGGGTTAAGAACTTTGCTTCAGAATGAGAACAGAAATCGTGCTCCAGCGGCGCGGCAGCAGCAGGAGGCCCCATTAGCTAAAGTGATGCTTTAGGTTAAGAACAGTTTCAGGTTAAGAACAGACCTCCGGAACAAATTAAGTTCTTAACCTGAGGTACCACTGTACAGTTCTGGAGGTGAGGTCCGTTCTTAACCTGAAACTGTTCTTAACCTGAGGCACCACTTTAGCTAATGGGGCCCCTCGCTGCCGCTGCACGATTTCTGTTTTCATCCTGAAGCAAAGTTCTTAACCTGAGGTACTATTTCTGGGTTATCAGAGTCTGTAACCTGAAGTGTCTGTAACCTTAAGCGTCTGTAACCCGAGGTACCACTGTATTGGAAGTTCTTGTGGCCTCTTGGGAACCAAGAACTCAACGCTGATAAAGGTGATTCCTTCACATATGAGTGTCATCTGTTGGTCTTTGTTTTCTCTTTACATTTCATAATGCCTAAACGGTTGAATAAATTAAAACTGGACAAGTCTTGGCATGCATGGGCACCATAGTAGCCATGGGCGTAGCCAGGATTTATGTTGGAGGGGGGGGGGAGCAGAACCGAGTTATCTGCAAGGTGATTAGTCAGTTAGTTAAGTATTTTTATTTGCTTACTTGATTTGGGGGGGAGCAACTGCCATGGGCTTAGCCAAGATTACTTTTTTGGAGGGGTGGGACTTTTGTTGGGGGGCAGAACCGATGTGAATGGTCAGTTAGTTAAGTGTTTCTATTGTTTTACTTGATGGGGGGCAGCTGCCCACCTCCCGCTATGCCCATGATAGTAGCTTAAAACTCTGCACTGTCCTGGGGCAGCCAAATAGCACAGGCGTCTGGTCCATCTGGCTCAGTATCATCTAAAGAGACTGGCTGCAATTATCCAAGGTTTTGGGCAGGAACCTTTTCCAGACCTATCTGGAGATGCCAGGATTGAAGCTGGGACTCTCCCACTGAGCTACAGCCCCCCTTCCTCATGTTCCACATAGCTGATGGCCGGGTATTGCCTTAATTTTGCAGAAGTCCTAATCCCTTTACTACCTCACATAGATGCTGAGGCAGACGATCTGTGGAGCAGTATGACCACATCCGCTTCTATACCTTCTCCTTGCACTTACACACCTATATACACAAGTCCAGTGTGACATGGCACTTTAATTCACAATTTAATGCAAAAAATAAATAAATTTCTGGTGTACACTTGAATCCCTCTCATCATATATAGCAACTGTCTGGAAGCAGCCTTTATCTTCATCCTAGAAAAAGAAAATGTTTCAGATGGAGCTTTTGCTCATATAAAGGTCAAGAGATGGGGAAGGTGCCATCTGTTAAATTTCCACCTGTCAGGCTGTTACTACGCAGAGAATCAGGCAAAAAGGAAAAAAGAAAACAAAGCAATGCTATTATGGTCACAGTTTTCTTACCTCATCTGTCCAAAAGTATCATGAAGCTTAAAAGACTGCTATGTAACTTATAAATCTCTACTTACACAAACAGTTGGGACAGATTGTAATCTTCACCCTAGATCCAAAAAGCCAGCAGAGTATTTACCCAGTGCCAGGAAATCTTGGATACATCCATGCTTTGGAACCCATTTAATCCTTATCTCTCCCCCTCTCTCCATGTATTAAAAGTTACATAGGGTAGCCATAAAATGGTATTATCTCCATTTTCAGCTGCTATGTGTCATGGGTCCTGTAGCACCAACTAGGAGAGCGCAGGAGTGGCATGCATGGTCAGAAGAGGGGAGCAGAGGCAGACTGGACAGTGACTCAGATGAGGAACCCATCCCAGCGATCCCAGGCATCCCAGAAGGGAAGGGAGAACCAGCAGTGCCACATCACCTCCAGAGCAAAATATTCCTATGGTAGCTGAGGAGCTGACCAGCCAATCAGTGGAGCTAGCTGGGTCAAAGGTGGGGAGATAGTTTGGGGGTTGGATTAGAGTCCTGCCCAGTGTCAGGAATGCTTGGATACAAACATCATGCTCTGGAATCAATTTAATGGATGATTCATGATTTCTACCTTAATCTCTTAACTTTAAAAAGTAAACTAAAAATATTGGCATACCTGCATTAAAGTGAGAGGGTTGATTATAGTCTGCAAACTTCTTCTTGATTGAATACTGCCACTTCTTTATCTAAAGCAATGAACCACAGAACAGACAAAAGGTGGCTTCTTAACACCACATCGTGTTGGATGATACTGAGGTCACTTCCAGAGGACTTCTCTAATAAGCATTCACCCTGATTTGTTTGCAGAAAGAATTCTGGTGAGACAATGAGAATTCATCCAGATTTGTTTTGAGGGACATAAGACAATATTGGGTCAATCAAGTGTTATTCCAGGCTTTCCAGTGTGCTTTCACTTTCCTTGTTGTAAAAAAATATATATTTTGAGGAAGCAGGCCTGTTTTACAAGAGCTCCAAATCAGCTTTAATTGTTCAACCTAAATTTGCTGGTATGAGATTGAATTCCAATTCAAAATGCAGACAGTCTGGTAGCACCCTGATGATTTAGATCCATTCCAAATTCCTCTCCATCAGCACAGAGGGGTTCCCAAATTAATTTTTTAAGTCTCTAAAGGCAGACTTCCACTGCATGCTAAGAACAGGAATCCAATTCTGGAAATCCCAGAAGCACAAAGCACAAAGCAGCCTCTCTCACTCCTGAAGTCTTGAAGTCTCCCTCTTGAGAAGGGAAAGGCAAACCTGGATTGCAGCTGTTTGCTTTCAAAAAGAAACACCACCACCTTGCTTAGTAATAATAACAATTTTATTATTTGTACCTTGCGCATCTGACTGGGCTTCCCCAGCCACCCTGGGCAGTTTAAAAAATAAGTCATAGTCGCATCAGGCACTCTGAAAAGTCCTGCTATGAAAATCGATAGTCTTTACTGAAGTAGTCCCAATGCAGTGTGGTAAGGAATTTCCCTGAGGTTTCTTATTTTAAGAGCAGGAAGTCGATCTCCTTTTCAGCTGAATCCAGATGCCCTTATTTGGACGAAGAATCAGTTCTCCTACAGGGCAGAGTTGATCACGTCGCTGTGTACTTTCAATAGAGAAGTGCCGCAGGATGGTAGCTAGAATCAACATTTCTTCCATCTTTGCAAAGCGCTGACCTGCAGAGGAGTTAAAAAGCAATTACAAGATGCAATTAACCATAGCAGTAGTGCACATTTATTGTTATTCAACACATCACACTGTGGTCAGGTCCCCAAAACTCAATTTTAAATTCTTAAACACTTAAGCATTTTTCTATACAGATGTATAATCAAATCCACCCAAACAAACAGTGTGTGGGGAGGGAAAAGCCAATGGAAGGAAGGAAAAAGTGGGGGAAGTGGAAGGCAGGGGCTCATAGTATTGGTGCAGAAATGACCTTTAGACTTAGGTGTGTTTGCACTGTCATTATAAAACTAACAGTCATGGCTTTCCTAAAGAACTCTGGAGACTATGATTTGTTAAGGATGCTGAGAATTGTTTTGAAAGATCAGTGATAGAAGCATACTGTGCTCTGGAGTTCTGACTTTTGACTCTCACACATACCGATACAGTTCCTTGGCCCTGCAGAGAAAGGCACATATGCATATGGGTGCCGCCCAGCTGCGTTCTCAGGGAAAAATCGCTCAGGTCTGAATTCCTCAGGCTCCGGGAAGACAACATGGTCTCTGTGCAGCATGAAAGACCCAATTATGACATCCGTTCCTTTGGGTATCCTGAATCCTCCTGCCAAAGAACAATGGATAGTCGTGAAAACTTCTTGTAAAACCAGCCATGCTAGCACTAAGCTTATAGCCACAGAACATCAAGGCATCAAGCTGTGATGGCTCCGTATTTGTAGAATGCTCTCCCCAAGGAGATTCAGCTGGCACCTTCATTATACATCTTTAGGCGCCAGGTGAAAACATTCCTCTTTAACTAGCCCTTTGGCTGATTGACATCAGATGCCCCTTTAAAATGTGTTGTGGAAGGAGGGGCGGATTATTGGGTTGCTTTTATTTTTATTATGTATTTTTTATTTTTTATATTGTAGTTTTATGCTGTGAATCTTCCCTGAGATCTACAGGGTATAGGGAGGTATACAAATTTAATAAATAAAGCAAATAAATAAATAAACCCACTTGAAATACTTACTAATATAACATTCCTCACTCAGTGTACGGCCAAAAAATGGAACAGAAGGGAAAAGGCGAAGAGCTTCTTTAATAGCACAATCCAGATACCATAGTTGCTTCAAATCGTCCATTGTGATGTTACGATCTGAGTCCCCTGATATGATAACAAGAGGCAGTTAGAGAAACATGTGTTATTTATTACCAGCAAAACAGGCATCCTAACTTTGAAGTTCAGACACCTATTTTTAAAGATGGTGGAACAGTGGTCATTTGAAGGACTAGTTCAGTCACTGCCATAATTCATTTCTAGGCTTAGGCTTAGGATCCAAGTCAGCATGTCTTCCTAAGCCAGAGGTTGAGATAAAGCATAAAAAGCATTAGGCCAGCTTCCTGACTCCAGAACGGTGTTTTGTCAGCTGCTGAGGCTACTAAAGGACAGAGCTTCCAAGCACTCATAGCCCCACTCTGCCAGCAAAATAACTAACTACCTTCAGTCTCTTTTGTTTTAGGTATGAGACTAGCTGCCATCCTTTTATAGGTGGTCCCTTTTAAGAGAGCTAAACCAGCGGAGCATCATTGTCTGGTGAAGGGAAAGGATGCTAAGCATCATTGATTGTGTCTGCCGAATGTTATCTGGGAGACTTTGAGAAATATGCCAAGCCAGAGTAGATCCCACCTACAGAGTTTATTATTTAAATGTTTCCTGTTAGACATGGAGGGGCAAGTGGGTATGATTTGGTGAAAACAGCTTCATGGGCCAAACTGGGACTCATGCTGGACCAAAGGTACTGGACTTATATGAGCAGAATTCTCTGATCTGGCCTCGTACAGAGTATGAATAAATGAGCTTTCCACACCAATAAAGTGTTTCAAAGTTGTACTGCAAGCTGTCTTTAAACCTGTTACAAAATACATTGTAAATACAAATCAACACATTGCTCTTAAGCAACAGGCGATTTGCTACATTTCTCTGCATACGGAAATCTCCACAAAATATTTTATGCCGTTAAGCCTCAATGTTTTACAAGAGGTCCTCCATCTCTGCATTAGAAGAATCAATAAATATTCATGAGTACCCAGAAGTATTCCTGCATACCATACTTACCCAGGTTTATACTCACAGAAAAGAAAAAGAAACTTACCAAAAACCTCATCAAGTTCATGGTGAACTTTTCTTTGGGCTTCTGGATGACTTGCAAGCAAGTAAATACACCACTTCATGGCAGAAGCGGAAGTATCATGACCCTTGAAGGGGAAAATGAAAGAGGCCTAATCTTTATCAGAAAAATAGGATCCTCAGCCATTATAATGATATCCCAATCCAAGGCCTAAACAAAGTATTTCACACCCTCTGAAACTCACAGCAGTTTTTCTTAGCACAAATCCAAAATTTGAAGGCACCAGCCACATACACAAGAGTACCGTATTTTTCGCCCTATAGGACGCACTTTTTCCCCTCCAAAAATGAAGGGAAAATGTGTGTGCGTCCTATGGGGCGAATGCAGGCTTTCGCTGAAGCCTGGAGAATGAGAGGGGTCGGTGCACACCGACCCCTCTCGCTCTCCAGGCTTCAGGAAGCTCTGCGCAACCCTTGGGAGACTGGCGCGCCTTCGCACTGGCCTCCCAAGGGTTGCACAGAGCTGCCTGCATTCCGAAGCCTGGGGCGCGCTGAAGAGCGCGCCCGGGCTTCGCGCAGCTCTCCGCAAGCCTGGGAAGACCGGCGCGACTTCCCTCCGGGCTCCCTAGGCTTGCGGATAGCAGGCTGTTCTCGGGGCTGGGGTCGGGGGAAGCTCGGGCTTCCCCCGCGCCAGCCCCGCGCCTGGGGGGGAAATAATTTTTTTTTCTTTATTTCCCCCCAAAAAAAACTAGGTGCACCCTATGGGGCGAAAAATACGGTAAGTCTTGTAAGTGTTTGGGGGGGAATTAAGGAAAACCATGTCCTAGGGTTTCTTCCAGGCCTGGTCACTTTCCACGTGCTAAAGACAAACTGACATCCCTGAGTCACTCTCATATCTGAAAAGATCTTGGTAGGATGGTTAACACACCTATATAAATACGAAACAGACATATACACTGAAGCTTGGCTTTTAGGTACCTTCATTTTATTTTATATGATATATGACATGTGACATGTGACATGTGATATTATTTTATTTTTATCCCACCTTTCCTGCTTTCACACAATCCCAAATGTGCCATGTATAAAACAATTGCATATTTCATAGAAAAACAATCTCTTGTATAAAAACATGCTTTCCTTTGTTTTTGCTCATTGCATTGTAACTGACCCCCACTTCCCATGTCTCAGTCAATTGAAAACAAGCGTTCCTTTGGAACTGCCTCCACTAGACAGCAAGTAGATAGATCCCTCTTGCCTCTTTGGTGCCCACCGAAGACCTTCCTTTCTCCACAAGCTTTTTAAGTGGGGATTTTTTTTTATCCCCATCTATATCTGGATTGGGACGCGGGTGGCGCTGTGGGTTAAACCACAGAGCCTAGGACTTGCTGATCGAAAGGTCGGCGGTTCGAATCCCCGCGACGGGGTGAGCTCCCGTTGCTCGGTCCCAGCTCCTGCCCACCTAGCAGTTCGAAAGGACACCAAAGTGCAAGTAGATAAATAGGGACCGCTCTCCAGCGGGAAGGTAAACGGCGTTTCCGTGTGCTGCGCTGGTGCTGGCTCGCCAGCCGCGGCTTAGTCACGCTGGCCACGTGACCCGGAAGTGTCTGCGGACAAGCGCCAGCTCCCTGACTCTTGAGCGAGATGAGCGCGCAACCCCAGAGTCGGTCACAACTGGACCTGTTGGTCAGGGGTACCTTTACCTTTACCTTTATATCTGGATTTGGAACTGTTTTATACATTGTATTCTTAAATTCTTTGTATTGTTAAAGCACTTCTGAGATATTTAAAAAGGAAGGAATTCATAAATGGAATTAAATGATTAATAAATAAACAACCATGCCTCAGTACTGCTATAACCACTAGAGGGCAAACACACACAACAAAGTTATTGGTGAATCATGTCAGGTTTTAATTATACTCACTGAACTACTATTAAGCAATCTGTCTGGCAGCTGTTTGTGTACAAGTAGTTCTTTATTTTCTTTATTAAAGCAAATTAATATCAGGCAATGATTTATTTCATGCCCATGTATTGTTAATGAAATAAGATGCATCACTGAGAATTTATTTATGCTCCACTGGAAGAGAATACCAGACTAATCGGGTACGGCAAATGCAAGCTTACCATCTAGCTAAGGGCAGCTTCAGATACATATATTCTACAGCAAAGTTTTACATGTGTTAAATTAGCAAACACATATCTGAAACAATTATTTACAATTATTTTCTCTTAACAAGCTCAAACCAAGCCTAGGTACTTTTTTTCAGCACTAAGTACCGTATGCTATGGCAGGTCCCATGTGTAGACATTTGCCTATAGCCAGAGATTTCTTGACTTGTAGAACAGCCTCTTAACACTTACACCTCTCTGTTTGGAAGTAAACACCATTGAGTTCAATGGGGTTTACTCCCAGATATATGGGTACAGGATAGCATTCTTAACCACCATGCTATGCCAGCACTCTTGTACTCGAGTAGGAACCACTCCCACTACTGAAATTTATATTGGCCAGAGTTCTTGGTGTGCTTTTTTCTTAGCACTCTTGTACTGGGCATTCTATACCTCAAACATGAATGTATCCACTTCCTCTCGTATGTCCAGGTAGCTCAACTTCTTCCCATCATCATCTGTGGCATTCAGAAGCATATCAAGAAAAGCTCTCCTGACTTTGTGCCCGCTTTGTTCACCGTTGCTGACAGCATTGCTTCTATGCTGCTCCTGGTTTTTTAGTTCTTGAGCTTTTTCTGCAATGACCTTAGATAATAAAAACAAAAAAAGCCATTCATTTCTCAGATTGCAGGATCCAGTGTGTGCACTCACTGCAGTACCAAATAACATGACTAGCTATCTCTGTTGTTCCCTGAACCTAGCAATCTGCTAGGTCCGTATACCCAGTTATGTGTGGGAATGTTCTGGGGTGCAGGAAAGGATATATTGACTAATTATATCCTTGTCCAACTTGTGCTAACAAGTTCCCAAAATATCAGCAGAGTTTATATACATTCCCCTTTAAGTACGCAACGGTAACGTGTGCACAGGTTCGCTAGAACCTCTATAATAATTACCCTGGTAATTTCCCCTTTAGTTCCCTCTTAAAATACAAGACACGACACAGTCTTCATAAAAGTATAAAAGAGTTTACTCACGTTCTGTTCACAATGTGATCCCAGAAGGCACAGCTTAAAAAGGTTACATAGATTTAGAATCTATCTCATAGCAAGATAGGCCTTATCTCCTCTCTTGGCTGGGAGCCAAGAGGGCATCCTTAGGTGTTTCCTCGTCGAAGGAAAATGGCAGAGAGAGAGAGATGGCTGCCTGCCCTGTGCTTTTTGTCATCACCTGCACAGGTGAGGCCACACCCACCTCTAGTCACATGTGGAGGAAGTCCGTCCCCAGGAAGTTTACCTGCTTGCTGGACAGACATCCCCACCATGTTCTAACATGTACACTCTAGGAATGTTGTCATTGACTGCTCCTGTGTTTACATCCCACATACCCCTTCTCAGGCAATACAACATATACAAAATATAAACAACTTTATTCAACCACCCAGAGTCCCAGCTTGATACGTAGATTCTGGAAACTCTCTCTTGGTAGGGGTTTCGTCAGGATGTCAGCAGTCATTTCTTGGGTGCTGCAGTAGGATAGTTCCACAAGTCCATCCTGGATCATCTGGCGTATGTAGTGGTATTTAACCCCAATGTGTTTTGTTCTGGCCAGGAACTTCTCACTCTGCGTCAGCTTCAGGCAACTCTGATTGTCCTCTAGCAAGCTGACAGGCCCTTTTCTCACCAACCCAAAGTCCTTTATGAGTTGATCAAGCCAGGCGATCTCTCTGCAGGCTTCTGTTGCTGCAACGTATTCTGATTCTGTGGAAGATAATGCTACACAGCTCTGTTTATAACTGCCCCACGCGACAGGTCCATCACCAAACATAAAAACATGACCACTCGTTGATTTATAGTCAGCATTATCCCCAGCCCAATCAGCATCTGTATACCCAACCAACTTAGGGTCTTTGGCAGCTGGTAACCTTAATTTACAATTCATGGTACCCTTCAAATATCGCACCACCCTCTTTACACCTGCCCAATCATGCTCAGTGGGAGAATTCACTTTTCTGCTAAGAATCCCCACAGCATTAGCTAAGTCAGGTCTACATGTGGTAACTAAATACAAAAGTTTACCAATCGCCGACCTGTAGTCATTGTTGTCTGGCAACTGCTTCGAATCCTGCTGATTCTTCAGGAAGTCAGTAGCCATCGGTGTAGCAACTGGATGTGCGTCTTGCATCTGCATGTGCTCAACTAGCTCGTGGATCTTCTGTCTTTGGCTGAGAAGAAATGATCCGTCCTCTTCTCTTTCCACCTGAATCCCGAGGTAATACTGGACATCTCCTAGCTCCTTGACCTCCACCTCCTTGCTAAGGTGTTTTACTATCTGTGTATAGTCTTTCTCACTTGCTGTGGCAATAATCAGGTCATCAACAAATGCTAGGATATATGAGAATTGTCCATTATTTGACTTACTGTACAAGCACTTGTCAGCGTCGCCTTGCTTGTACCCAAGTTGCGTCAGCATTTTATGCAACTTCTGGTTCCAGGCTCTAGCAGCCTGTTTAAGTCCATAAAGTCCTTTCTGCAGCTTGCACACTAGATGTGCCTCATGTGGTTTTACAAAACCTTTAGGCTGTTTCATATAAATTTCCTCTGAAATCTGCCCATGTAGAAAAGCGGTAGCAATGTCAATGTGTTTCACCCTCATTTTCTTGGAGGCTGCAATGCTTAAAAGCATTCTTACGCTGCTGTACCTCACAGTTGGTGCAAAAACTTCATCGTAGTCTTCACCAAAACGCTGTGAAAATCCCTGTGCCACAAGTCTAGCTTTGTAGCGCTGCACTTCTCCTTCTGACCCCTTCTTAACCTTGAAAACCCATTTACTGCCAATAGCCTTCTTACCGGGAGGCAGCTCAGTGAGTGTCCAGGTCTTGTTCTGATGCAGTGCATCCATCTCCTCCTGCGCGGCCTTCCTCCAGAGACTGGCTTCTGCAGCTGGCATCTCCTGTATCTCTTCCCAAGTGGAAGGTTCCTGTGGAAACGCCGACCCTGCAAGGTAGGACAACCGTACTGGTGGGACACCTCTGTTGGTTCTGGATGAGCGTCTGACCTCTGGTTCTGCGACCGCATCAGCTTCCTCATCCTCCTCCAACGCAGGCATGTCCCCATCTGAGTCCTCATCTTCGTCTCTGGTGCCGCCAGGGTTCTGGTCCTCTGCGTCTTCTGGTGCGTCGCCTGTAGGGGGCGCTGTAACACTCGAAGGCAGATAATTACTTTGTGGGGTCTCAAAAGGGAAATATACAAACTCTTGAGTCCTTTCTGACTCATCTGAAGAATCCACAACAGTGTTCTTAGTGTCTACTTTTCCATATTCATCAAAATAAACCGCATGGTATGCATTTGTCTTACCAGTTTGTAAGTCCATAATTCTGTATCCTTTGCCTCCAGAAGCATATCCCACAAGGATACCTGCTTTTGCCCTGGAGTCAAGCTTGTGTCTGTGTTCCTTGGGCACGTGGAAGTAACACGGACTTCCAAACACACGTATGTGCGACAGATTGGGAGCTTTCCCATGCCAAAGTTCAAATGGTGTGCGCTCTGCACCTTTAGTTGGCAGTCTATTCTGCAAATAGACTGACGTGTATACTCCTTCGGCCCACAGCTTTTGTGGCAAACGTGCATCCTTTAGCATGCACCTTGTCATGTCCATAATGGACCTAAACTTTCTCTCAGCTATGGCATTCTGCTGTGGTGTGTAAGGAATTGTGGTTACGTGTGCAATTCCTTCTCTGGCCAGGAGAGTCTGCACTTCATTTGAGCAGTACTCACCTCCATTGTCACTCATTAACACAGCTGGAGCTCTCTGGAATTTGTTCTTGACCATGGCAATGTATTCCTGGAGCTTGTCCACTGTCTCACTCTTCTCTTTGAGGAAATATACAACACAAAATCTTGAAAAGTCATCCAGAAATATTAAAATATATCTATTCTTTCCCAGTGAGGGAACATTCATGGGTCCACATATGTCAGTGTGCACTATGTCAAGCACTTTGTTGCTTCTTTGTTCTGCACAACGTGGAAATGAAGGTTTTACAGCCTTCTCAGTAATACAGCTTATGCACTTTGCTGGAGCTTTGTTGCTCTGCTTTACCTGCAAACCTCTTACAAGATTTCTTTTCTGTAGATCCAGAATGAGGCTGGCGTCTCCGTGTCCTAGCCTTCGGTGCCATAAGTCCAGATCTGCTTCATCCTTCTGGCTGGAATGTGCCACTTTTGCAGACTGGTTCTCTGAAAGATCAAGCTCATATACACCATTTATTAGCTTTGCTTGAGCAAACACTTTGCCATTTCTAGTCACTTTACATTCTCCATTTCCAAATGTGACCTGGAAACCTTTCTTGTCCAAAGTGGACACGCTGATTAAGTTGCAACTCAGCTCTGGAACATACAAAACTCTAGAGATTGTGTTCTCAATGCATTCATTGTTTATACTGCATTTCAGGCTCATGGAACCTGCACCTTTTGCTTTAACAATGTTACCATCTGCAATCTCAATTTCAGATCCTTCTTCATCATTTATTTCATTAATCTCATTAAAATAGTCCTTTTTATATGAAAAATGCGAACTGGCACCTGAATCTAAAATCCATTTGTTACGTTTATTTTCACGATTCTGGACAGCTAAGTTCCTTTCTTGCAGTAACCATGTGCATTCACATTTCCCCTTCTTTTCCCCTTTTGGCTGAAAGGGGTGGGGTTTCTTTGCTTTAGGAGCCCTGCAATTCTTTGCAATGTGTCCTTCTTTGTTACAATTGAAGCAAATCACTTTCTTAGGCATCTCTTTGGACTTTGTACATTGCCTAGATGCATAACTGCTGTCCTTGCTTCTAGCATTTCTCACTGGAGATTCACCTCTATCTCTGCATTCTTCTTTTAAATAACCAATCAAGTCTTTAAATGTCAGACCTTGTCTATGCTCCATCAAACTTACAAATGCACCAAAGCGTGGTCCAAGTGATGATAACAAAAATGCTATCTTTGTATCCTCATCAAAAGCTTTGGGAGTCAGATCAATTCTTTGAATAATCTCAGTAAACTTGTTGATGTGCTCTGTGAATTCCTCTTTTGAATTCATCCTCAATCTGGTTAATTTACACACCAAGTTTCTGAAGCTGTTTATGCTAGATTCTCCATACACGCGCTCAATATCTCTTAAGATTTGAGATGCATCATCTGTGCTATTTATTAATGATAGCTGCTCATCACGAAGTCCACTCAAAATTATGTGTCTAGCTTCGCTGTTCATGCGTTTCCAAGCACTTATCTTGGCTAAATCTCCCTCAGACGATCCTGTAGGCTGAGGCTCTAAAGCTTCCAAAATGTGCTTATAATCCAAACATGCTATCAAGCGCTGCTTCCAGTGCATGAAATTGTACTCATTCAGCACAGGCATTCCTAGCTTTGCATCACTATCAAAAGCTGCTCTAGCCATCTTAAAATCCAAAATTTGAAAATTCTTCAAAATTTCAAAATTTCTCAAAATTTTAAAATCAAAATCTCAAAAATCTCAAAATGCAAAACAATTCTTCACTGCCTTGGGTCACTGTGAACTCTGAGGGAAGGGGGTGGGTTGCTTAATCCCCACTGCACAATGGAACAAAGGACCATGTGCTTACCAGGAAGTTAACTCAGAAAAATACTACTCAACTCAAAATCACAATCCAATGCAATCCTTCAAAAATACGCAGAAATATGCAATACTGGGGCCACTAACCCTTTGTGGGAATGTTCTGGGGTGCAGGAAAGGATATATTGACTAATTATATCCTTGTCCAACTTGTGCTAACAAGTTCCCAAAATATCAGCAGAGTTTATATACATTCCCCTTTAAGTACGCAACGGTAACGTGTGCACAGGTTCGCTAGAACCTCTATAATAATTACCCTGGTAATTTCCCCTTTAGTTCCCTCTTAAAATACAAGACACGACACAGTCTTCATAAAAGTATAAAAGAGTTTACTCACGTTCTGTTCACAATGTGATCCCAGAAGGCACAGCTTAAAAAGGTTACATAGATTTAGAATCTATCTCATAGCAAGATAGGCCTTATCTCCTCTCTTGGCTGGGAGCCAAGAGGGCATCCTTAGGTGTTTCCTCGTCGAAGGAAAATGGCAGAGAGAGAGAGATGGCTGCCTGCCCTGTGCTTTTTGTCATCACCTGCACAGGTGAGGCCACACCCACCTCTAGTCACATGTGGAGGAAGTCCGTCCCCAGGAAGTTTACCTGCTTGCTGGACAGACATCCCCACCATGTTCTAACATGTACACTCTAGGAATGTTGTCATTGACTGCTCCTGTGTTTACATCCCACATTATGAAGATGCATTTGCTGTCTTGGCAATAACAAACTGTTGGTGGTGAGGCACAGTGGATAGTGTTGAACTGAAGCTTGAGTTTGAATCTCAACTCAGCCATGAACCCCAATAGGTAGCCTGAAGGTTGAGTCATTCTCTCGTAGCACAGCCTGCCTTGCAGGCATGTAGTGAAGATAAAAAGCCTTGTAAGCGAGTTCACAGAAAAAACACTCTCAAGACATCATTAGATGTTTTCCCTAAACACACAAAGGCTGGGAGTGGAGAGGGCAAACTTTTGCCCACACATGTCCAGCCTGACATGCTCTGAGCAGGACTCCAAAGTCTGGGAGGGTCACAATTGTGAATATTAGCAAAATATCTTTTGGTATCTGTGCCTATGAAATAGCTTACATCATCAGTAAAGCTGTGAAGTATCTTCAGACTCCTGTAATGTTCTCTTCCTTCTTGGAACATGAGGTAGAGAAGGTCAGGCCAGAGCCAGGGAGACTTCTGTCTTTGTTGAATCAGAACACTCATCCTAGGGAAAGAAGCAACAAAGCTGGGTATATCCCTAGGAAAATGACAAGATGTACAGGAAAGAGCCCAGATGTATTGCTACTAGTCTGAGCAAATGAGTGTCATGAGAAATATGGTATACATGTGAAACAGATACACAGAGCCCCAGCTCAGGACATACAGCTTGGGCTGTTTTCAGCCCCTCCACTGTGCAGGTCCCCTCCAGTGTGAATGGGGCTTCTACATAATCATTCAACCCAGTTCGCGCAATCCACCTCCCAAAGGAAGGGTAGGGAGGAAGATTGTACAAAGCAGGCCTTTGCAAGTTTTTCATGCGGACAGTCAAGTTCAGATTAAAGACTGAAGGAGCATTTCCACCCCCATCATTCAGCCTGGACACTGAGGTCCAGCTCCGAGGGCCGTCTGACGCTTCCCTCACTACGAGAAATGAGGTTACAGGGAACCAGGTAGAGGGCCTTCTCAGTAGTGGTGCCCACCCTGTGCAACGCTCTCCCATCAGCTGTCAAGGAAATAAACAACTATCTGACTTTCAGAAGACATCTGAAGGCAGCTCTGTTTAGGGAAGTTTTTAATGTTTGATCTTTTATCGATTATTATTATTATTATTATTATTATTATTATTATTATGCTGGGAGCCACCCAGAGTGGCTGGGGAAACCCAGCCAGATGGGCAGGGTATAAATAAATTGTTGTTGTTGTTGTTGTTGTTGTTACAGTGGTACCTCAGGTTAAGAACTTAATTGGTTCCAGAGGTCCGTTCTTAACCTGAAACGGTTCTTAACCTGAGGCGTGCTTTCGCTAATGGGGCCTCCTGCTGCTGCTGTGCCGCTGGCCCATGATTTCCATTCTTATCCTGGGGCAAAGTTCTTAACCTAGAGCAACCATTTCCTAGTTAGCGGAGTGTGTAACCCAAAGCGTCTGTCACCCGAAGCGTCTGTAACCCGAGGTACCACCATATTAATATTAATATTATATCTGCATGGTGGAAGGGAAAGGGGCCTTTTTTCCATGTAACCCCCCAATAAAACACTGCAGATCAAGGCTCTGCTTCAGAGATGGAAACCTGTGGCCCTCCAGATGCTGTTGAGACCCCAACTATCAGCATCCCTGACCATTGACAGGCCACAGGTTCCAAATCCTTGCTGCTGGAATGCGTCATCCCACTAAAAACTACCTGTAGACAGCTTGGACATATTCGGAATCCTTATTGTGTTGTGCTCCTATGTTCTTGCCCATAGCTGTTTCTAGGAACCGAAGAGAGAGAAAAATCAAACGTAGAATCATTCTCCTAGAAACCAAGAATGGGACATAATCGGAGCAGAGGGCCCATCAAGCTCAGTGTTCACAGAATTTAAATGAACAACAAGCTATTCACGTTAATTTTTAAATGGCATGTGTCTAATTTAGATAAATTGTTACAAGAAGAACAACTCTTCTGGTCAGATCTCACAAAAATGTCCATTCGTCCAACAAATGAGCAGGGATGTTTAAACCTCATTCACTGCAACACTTTGACAGCAGCAACTGCACTTACCACAAATTACATCAAGGGCACACAGAGTAATGTATAAAGTGCAATCGAACGGCTCCTTGTCCACATGCTTTTCAAGTTTCTGAACAAGGACATTGGCTTGTTCATTCATCACTTCGAGGAAATCTTCTAAGATTGTAAAATGGAAGGTGGGTGTTAACATTTTCCTTCGGGACCGCCATTTGCCTCCAGTGCTGCAAAACAAAGACTGAAACATGAATGCCTTCAAGCAGGACCTGGAGCAAAACATGGCAGTGTGCAGTGCTCCTGTTCAGGTTTCCAGACACTCCCTTCTTCCTCACCCCCAACTGACCATTTTTTTCTCTAACATTCAACAGCCCATAGTCACTGATCATGCTCAGTCTCCAATGTGTTTTTTACTGGTTCTTTCCACATTGTCTCCCCATCCCTGCAATAAAGATTTGGCACTGGAAAATTTGGGGTTTCCCTGAACCTGCTGGTGCCCCCTTCCCTAGGCTACATAAAAGGATGATTGACCACATAAAGAACCGGAACCTAGCAGACTGAGGTCATTAGTATGGTGATGTTCAAGCAATACACCACTTTTCAAATCTCATGGATCTCAATGCCAATTCTGGATTGGCAATGAGTGGTCACCTCCTAAGGCTCTTTCTTCATAAACTATTCTCTCTTTCCTGCTCCAGCTACCAGCTGAAAACTTCCAGCTCACTGCAGATTCTCCCAACTAGTTTTATGTTAATACAGGGGGGAGGTTTCAGTTTTGCCCATTAGGCCATTTCATTTTTGCCCTCACATCAAATCATAGAATTGTAGGGCTGGAAGGGACCCTGAGTATCATCTAGTCCAGCTCCCTGCAATGCAGGAATATGCGGCTGCCCCATATAGGGATCAAACCTGAGACCTTGGTGTTATCAGCACTGTGCTCTAACCAACTGAGCTATGCAAGGATACATGATGCCATCTGTGTGTGACAGATAGAGATGTGGCTGCAAATAAACCATCAGGAGCCTTAAAGTCAGTATCAGTCAGCTGCTTGGCGCTGCCTTCAAAGCCCAACCAGTGGAGAACTCCATAGAGAGCAGCTGACCTCTGCTAAAAGCAGGTCCTGAAGTCAGCACCAATCAGCTCTTCAGTACTTCTCTTGAGAATTGAGCAAGGCTACACCCACCAGCCCACCTCCAAAGTCCACACACTCAATAGGACATGTGCAGGTGTTGTGTGGCCAGTGGGCTGTCATGGGTGTGGCCTGTAACCCCAGTCCCACTTCCCCCTTCACACATTCATTATACAGTGGTACCTCAGGTTACATACGCTTCAGGTTACATACGCTTCAGGTTACAGACTCTGCTAACCCAGAAATAGTACCTCGGGTTAAGAACTTTGCTTTAGGATGAGGACATAAATCGTGCTCAGGCGGCGCGGCGACAGCAGGAGGCCCCATTAGCTAAAGTGGTGCTTCAGGTTAAGAACAGTTTCAGGTTAAGAACGGACCTCCGGAACGAATTAAGTACTTAACCCGAGGTACCACTGTACATGTGTGGCAGGACTGATAACCCAACCTGCTCTGAACACACCAGCTACATTGTATTCCAAAGGGTAGGACAAAAGGGTACAATTCCCACTTATGTTCTGGGTCCGTTTACCTCGTTAGGAGTCCTGTGCCCAGCCAAGGATGCAAAAACGTGTAGATAAAGGGTTTTGCAAGATGCTTAGAGCTCCTCAACACTACCTGACAACAGAAGCAAGGAAAAATGTAACTTCTTGACTTTGCCTTTCTATGAATCTAACTTGAATCCCACACTCTTTCTCCTGATTGGCTGATGGACTCACTAGCTCCCACTGGTTGCTGGGTCACCAGGAGGCAGACCCAGAGCCTGTCCGCCATAGGGCTCCCTTCTACAACTTGTGCTTTCATTCTTTTACTTTTTAGACTACAGAGTAAGGATGTGAGGACCTGTGAGTGCACAGCTCATGCACACATCTGTTCTGAAAGCTCAATCAATGTGTGGAGGTCAAAAGGACATCCCAGGTCACCTGAACTTGGCTCAGCTCATTCCCCATCTAGTGTATACCGGGAATTACTCATGTAGTACTTTCAAATGTTCTTTGATATTTGCAAAAGCAGTTGAGATTCTCAGAAAGGTGCATGTTGCACTGAAAACGATATTTGGCATCTGCTCCTGGCTCCTGCTGCATGACAGGCAGCCAGGGGCATCGTGTCATTTTCCAAGTGGAAGGCCTGCCTCCATAGGGAGCTGCAGACAGCAACACAATCTGTCTCCAACATGACTGTCAGATGCTTCTTTCCCTGTGTCAACTCTGTTTCCCTATCACCATGTCCACCTTTATTTGTAAGACCAGTTTTAGCAGGTTAATGACTGTGCTATTAAGCAAAGGGGGCCTGATTCCAGCCTGCCTGAGGGCCCTTCCTTCTGCCAGGAGATCCTAGTCTGTAAGTAGGTTGGCTAAATGCAAAATGTGGCAGAACTCCAGCACTTTTAATAGCTGTGTTGAAGAAGGAACTTCAACAGGTGTTCTGCTGGAATTTTCTCTTCTGTCTCACTCTTGCAAGTGCTGGAGATCTGCCCACCCACCCATGAGGGCTGCTGTGAACCCATCTTCAAGGAACGGCTCTCGACACATGTACCCCCTCTTTATTATTTCTTCATGTATTCCAGAATGTGGATTATAGGGCTAAAGCCTAGAATTCCAAGGAACACAACAGGCTGGGAGGGTGTCCCCTGTGCTTCAGAGAAAATGAGGTGGGGGGGACAGATGATGGGACTGGGAGAGCAAATGTGGCTGCTCTTCCTTTTGCTGCACTGCATCATTTAAATCGGGAGTGGAGAGAACCTGTAGCCTTCCAGACGCTGTTGATCCCAACTCCCATCAGCCCCATTCAACATGGCCTATAGTCAGGAATGGAGGGAGGAGGATCCAAAAACATCTGGAGGACCATCTGCTTTAAAGCTCTTTGTCCAGCATAAGTGGCAGCAACCCTACACCTATTCCATGCGGCTGGCAGTTGCAAGTGATTTCAGTCCCTTTTAACAGGATCCAGTAATTTGCATTAAAACAGCTGCACTTGTCAAAATCCTGCCAAAGGAAGGGGGGAGGGACTTCGCCCAGTTTTTAAATAAATAAATAAATAAATAAATAAATAAATAAATAAATAAATAAGAGCAGATATTATGGCATTTGCTTTTTGAAAAACACCACCTCCACACTGTTGATGAATAGCACTCAGCTAAGATCTTCAGACAGAATATCTGCATTAAGCATAATCCTCATGCTCATCCTACAAAATGAAGTGCAAGGTTTTCTTGAGTGCATGCACTGGAAAAACTATTTCTCTCTCTCTCATGTTCTTGGATTACAGTAGTATTTTTCAGGAGGATCCCAAATCTGATCTGGCACCTTTCTTTATATTTCTTAGAAATTAAGCCCTAGCGGCTTCCACAGGACTTATTCCCAGGAGTCTTTAGACTGCAATCCCCTCTGAATCTATACAGAAATAAGTTCCAATGAATCTAATGGAGCTTGCTCCCAAGAAAGTGAGCAAGCCCCATTAGACACAATGAGACTTATTTTTGAGTAAATATTCATAAGAGTGCACCAGTGTGTGAAAGAGAATGGGCAACTCTACTCTCCCACCCCCATTTTTGGCTGACACTTTGGTCCTATTCACCATCCTCTCCAGGCATGCACTGTTTGGCAGATTATACTCAGGGGGAGGTGGGGTTTGGTAGTGCTGCAGGGGAGCTCCCCAGCCATGCAGTAAAGTCTAAGAATGACAACCTCACCTCTACAGTTTCTGGACGATATAAGAGCACAACGGGATGTGGTCCTATCCAAAGTTGCATCAGTGGGACATTCCGGAAGGGTTCCATGGAATTTATCATTTGCTGAAAGAAAGCTGGGAAAACATGCATCCAGTTTGAAATTGAGGAATTCAATGACACCACCTCTACGCTACTTGTTCTCATTTCACGTACTCTAAGCTAAGATCAACAGCCACACAGTAAGAGAACCCTCTTCCCAAATTCAGATTGCGAGAGACAAGGAGCTGATTCCAACCTCCCACTTTCACATAAAGTTCTAATTTATATAGCATGCTCAGCCATTCTCATCTAAGAGCATATTCAGATTTGCTTAGAAATCAATTTGACCATATAAAATGAGGCTCTTTTAAAGGTGATTCCATACAAAGGGGCACTGCGTGATTGATAGGTAGTGTGCCCCACTCTGACATTGCATACAAAATAATCCATATTTGATTATTGTGACCATATAATTGGAGAAAGGGAGCCAGAAGTAACTGTAAAGCAGGTGGATCAAGAAGCAATAGATATGTCCTGAACAGACAGCCTCGGTCCTAAGTGATTTAAGTACAGAAGGTGAGGCACAAAGAAGTCCTGCTATATATACTTCTAATGAAAGTCTATCTAACTGGAGAGCCAGTGTGGTGTAGTGGTTAAGAGCGGTAGTCACGTAATCTGGGGAACCAGGTTCGCGTCTCCGCTCCTCCACATGCAGCTGCTGGGTGACCTTGGGCTGGTTACACTTCTTTGAAGTATCTCAGCCCCACTCACCTCACAGAGTGTTTGTTGTGGGGGAGGAAGGGAAAGGAGAATGTTAGCCGCTTTGTGACTCCTTAGGGTAGTGATAAAGCGGGATATCAAATCCAAACTCCTCCTCTTCTTCTAACTGGTCAGTCAATGTAAACATCTGCACCTAAACATCTGCACCTAAGCAAATACATTCCTATCATGAAAGTTTGTGTTTCACGAATTCCTGAATAAATCCTGATCTGGCTTAGCTAGGTAAGATTCTAGAAAGGAATTGCAGCTAATTAAGAACTCTAAATTTTCTCTTCTCTAAAACAAGCATTTTAGAGCCAGTTATTTAACTAAACTCAAGCCTGTTTCCCTAATAAAAGCTTTTATTCAAGTGATGCCAACTGCAATCCTGGACAGGTGCTATAACAGGGGTAGGCAACCTAAGGCCCATGGGCCACAAGCGACCCACAGGGGTCGTTTAACCGACCCACAAGCCACCCCCGAACTGAGCTGCCTACTCGGTGAGTCCCCATGTGCTACACTAAATTGGTGCAGCATGGTATGGAGACTCGCTTCTGTGGCGCTGGAAATCACCTCTGCGCATGAGCACACGCAGACACCAGAAATCATATCTGCACAGATGCAGACACTGGAAATAGCAGGCGCACATGCTCACACACACACATGATCCAGCCCACGGAGGGATTTCCACTGGAGTGAACCAGCCCAGGAGAGATAAACCTTGCCAACCCCTGTGCTATAACAAAGTCTATTATGAAGGCAGATTCTGTATCTGTGGCCACTATTAGGTGTAATTGATAACCTGCCCTTTATATACTGGTTCAAGAGAGATTTCTGAATATAACATATGGAAGTAGGAACACTGAGGTTTGAAGGAAAAAAACAACCATTTCTTTGGAATGATAGTAACAGCTTTGCGACTCTTCTCGCACTAGCAGCAAAGATTAGAAATACCTTTGCTGTACAGTGGTACCTCTGGTTACATACTTACAGTGGTGCCTCGCAAGACGAACGCCTCGCAAAACGAAAAACTCGCAAGACGAAAGAGTTTTCCGTTTTTGAGTCGTTCCGCAAGATGAATTTCCCTATGGGCTTGCTTCGCAAGAAGAAAGCCCATAGGGAAATCTCCAGGGACCTCTTTTAAAATGCTGGCGGTCGGGAGCAAAGACTTTTGCCCCCCGCCGGCCTTCAGAAGAGGTCCTGGACCTCTTCTGAAGGCCGGCGGGGGGCAAAAGTCTTTGCTCCCCCTCCCCCCCGCCTACCTTCCCGGGACAGCGGAGACTTCTCCGCTGTCTTGGGGCGATCATAAAATGCTGGCGGGTGGCAGCAAAGCCCTCCTGTCCCCGGAGCTTGCAGGGCGGGAGGTGGGGAGAAGGGCTTTTCTTCCCACCGCCAGCCTTCAGAAGGCTATTCTGAAGGCTGGCGGTGGGAAGAAAAGCCCTTGTCCCCCCCCCCAGCCTTCAGAAGAGGTCGGGGGACAGACTGTCCCCGGACCTGGTCTGAAGGCAGTTTCCATAGGAACGCATTAATTGATTTTCAATGCATTCCTATGGGAAACCGTGCTTCGCAAGACGAAAAACTCGCAAGAAGAAAAAACTTGCGAAACGAATTAATTTCGTCTTGCTGTAATTAGTTCCAGAGGTCCATTCTTAACCTGAACTTTTCTTAACCTGAAGCACCACTTTAGCTAATGGGGCCTCCCGCTGCCACCGCGCGGTACTATTTCTGGGTTAGCGGAGTCTGTAACCTGAAGCATCTGTAACCTGAAGTGTATGTAACCCGTGGTACCACTGTAATTGTTTTGGTGACTCTGAGGTTGTGTGGACTGATGGTACTGCTGATTCGTGATATTATATCTGTGTATGGTATTATTACTACGTTGGTATTAAGGCACATTTTAATGAATGAACTCTGGACACTGCACCTGTCTGCTTGGCCCTTCAGCCTGAAGGGCTCTCCTCACCAAGGAGCGCCTTCCAGCAGGGGTGGACTTTGGTACTATGGCGCCCTGAGCAAGGACAACATTTGACATCCCCACCTAAGTTGCGTACCCATATAAATATACTATTATTATTATTATTATTATTATTATTATTATTATTATTATTATTATTTTGCGCCCCCTCGACTCAAGCCCTCAATCCAGCGCCGCTTCCTGTTCCATTGTGGGCCAGCCTTGCCCTGGCTGAGCAAGGTGAGGCGATGATTCCCCATTGGAGGCAGGTGGAGCAGCTCCAACCTGCTGCCCTTGGACGGCCTCTCCATGAGGCAAGCTGCTTTGGGGGTGGCGCCTCGGTTTTGAAAATGGCGCTGTTACAACTTCGCCCTGCTCCCAAGGCACAGGAGGGCAGAGCTGCAAGGGGAACGGTTTCCATAATGGAGCACCTGCAGCGCAGAGCTGAAACGCGGCGTTTGCCGCCTCCGAGTCGCTACTGCGCCCCTCTTCCCCATGAAAGGAAAAGGCTGCAAGCCCACAGCTGTGAGCCAAGAAAAGCCCTTCATAGAAAGGGGAGCGGGCTTGGTTGGTGTTATGTACTGAGTTGAATAGGATCCAAAAGGCAGCAGTCTGATTGGTCCTAGAACAATAGGATTCAGAATGCAGCAGTCTGGTTGGTCCTAAAACAATAGGGTCCAGAATGCAACAGTCTGATTGGTCCACAGGAGCCACCCAATCCAGCTCCAGGTGGAAGTGAATTCGCAACCAGATTGGCCTACAGGTGAATCCCAGAATTAGCCAATCACGTGGGGCCCATTGTGTAAATAATGTATATAAAGCAGACATTCTGGGGGAACTTCCATTCCTCCGCACCACTATGAGCTGAATAAAGAGCATGAAATCCACTCTCGACTCCGAGTATATTTCAGTTGGCGGCTTCCTTTCTCGAGGACAAAGCGGCGCAGCGAAACAGAGGCGGCAAACGTGGGGGGGGGGGGGAGGAACCCCGAGAGGTTCCCGGGGAGACACTTTCTGACGAGCAGCTCAACCCAGGCAGAGCCTAACGTGGAGGCGTCATTTTCTGAGCCGGGCGAGGGATGGTGAAGACGAGCTGCTGGAGGAAAGCTGACATGTTGGCTTGAGGGAGGAGGAGAGCGAAACCTAAGTGGCTCTACTCCGAAGTAAGCCCCACCGATTTGCCGTGTTGAAGGCGTTTGTTTTATTATTCATTAAATTCCTACGACAGAAGAGCTTGTGCAAGCTCACGGTTGCAAGCCTAGCTATGTCTACTTTGGAGGAAATCCCCAGGCATTTTGGCACCTGAAACAAATCCCATAAATAAATTGATTCCCTTCCTTTAATGTTTTGAAATCTTATCTACAAATATTACAGTATCCCTTTAAAAAAAACTGTGAAGTCTTTAATCATGTATCACGGGACTTTTTCCATTTTTGTTTTCTGCTATAGCATAACACTGCTACCCTATGGGATAATAAACTGATAATAATGATGATGATAATTATAAGGATGGGTGCGCTGGATTTTAGCAATACAGTGGTACTTCAGGTTACATACGCTTCAGGTTACAGACTCCGCTAACCCAGAAATAGTGTTTCAGGTTAAGAACTTTGCTTCAGGATGAGAACGGAAATCGTGCTCTGGCAGCGTGGTGGCAGCAGGAGGCCCCATTAGCTAAAGTGGTGCTTCAGGTTAAGAACAGTTTCAGGTTAAGTACGGACCTCCAGAACGAATTAAGTACTTAACCTGAGGTGCCACTGTAAATTGCACGCTGCAGTAAATCTATAAATCATACCTGTGATTCTTACATTACAGGGGTGTTGGACTAGGTGGCCCTTGGGTCGCTTCCAAATCTACAATTCTGTGAAGAGGAGGAAATAAAATGTGCATTTCCCAGTGGGGAAAACTTGCTACTTTCTGTTATCCAACTCTGGACATCTAGCATCTGGATGATGATGATGATGACGTTGCTTCTAGAGAAGCAGGGTATATACAGAAATTACCTACCATCCTATTTATGAATTTCCAATTCTTCCCAAATTATGCTGCACACACAAAATCACACCCTTGAATCAATATTCTCAGCTGATCTGGAGTCCGGACTTTCTTGCACCGGCGGGATGAGGAAAAAGCTCTTTCAAAAGTGCAATGTGGAATATAAGAGTAGTTCAGAGAATATTAAAGGAAAAATTACTCGCACATCTGCAGTAAAAAAAAGGGGGGATCGCTACATCAAAATCATCCCGATATTGCATACATGGAAATGGTTAAGGTGCGTTTCCGAGCGGAGACGGGGCATCTCACCTTACTGAAATTAAGAGATACATGGAAAGGCAGAATTTCAGCCACCTCCAGGGAGAAGATGCGTTTGGAGGAGGCGCAGGGAGGCTATTTCGCAATGCCTCCTATTTGTACCTTTCCAGAATGTGTCACAGTGGGCAGGTGAAGATTGCCAAAACCTAGTAAGTAGCCTATTCGATTTCTTTCGCCCCAGCTGCCTGGGAAAACTCCGTGCGCGCTTTCTCTGCCTGCCTGCCTGCGTTTTACCTTCCCCATCGCGTTCAAAGAGCAGCGCGTTGCCCAGCAGCGGGTACCAGGGACTGAGCCCCGGGATGGGCTTCAGCTCCACGTATTTCCAACACTGGTCCAGCAGGAAGCGGGCGACCCAGACGGCCAAGAGCAGGGCGAGCGCCGCAGCCGCCCAGGAAAAGAGTCGATCGCCCTCCGGAGCCATCCTTGGCGAGAGCAGCCGAGCAGGGATGGCCTCCCTCGGCTCCAGGGAAGCGAGTTGCTTGGAGAAGAGGCTCCAAGGTAAGGCGAGGCGGAGTCCGGGGAGGGGGAGGACTGGGAGAGCGAAGGCATCGCCTCCATCTCTCTTAAACAGTGAAGACTTGGGGGAGGGGTGGAGCCAAATTGTCAAGGGGATGGAGTAACCCCTCTCTGGGAAAAATGGTGTCTGCCCTGGGGGCTTGTTAGCTTAAGAGAAAAGGCGAGCAACAGGAGGAAAGGGTATGAAATCAGGCCAGGGCCAGACCTGGCGGAAAGTGGACCTAGAGAAAACATTTTTCTTCTTCTTATGCAGCACTAGAGCACATCAACGGAAGCTGAGTGATGCAGGATTTTGGAGAAACAAATACAGCACATAGTTTATAAACTATGGCCGTTGCTCCACCGGGAGCCAAGGCTGACCACCAACCTAGGCGGCTCTGCTCAGCAGGTGATCAGGTTGCGAACCACCCTGAGATGCATGGATGTATGGCGGTATACAAATTTTAACAATAACAACCACCAGAGACAGTGCCAGATTTACATACAGGCTGACCCTCCTCCAAACGGGCCTCTTGCCAACTTTTTTGAAAAGAAAAATTATTCGAGGTTATAAATTTATAAACAATTTTTGTATCAATGCTAAAATTTCAGCAATGTTCTACTTTCATTGAGTAGAAAAAGGAGAGAACAATGTTTTGCTTCTCATGATCAGGTGCTATTAAGTTTGGGCCTCCCCAGGTCCCCTATTCCAGGGACTCCAGCTGCTTTAATCCAGGGTGCTGGGCTCCTGTTCGCCTGCTCCCCCCCCCCTGCACCATGTGTTCTTTAAATGTACTGGACAGTCATACCTCGGGTTACAGATGCTTCGGGTTGCGTTTTTTCAGGTTACGGACCGCCGAAACCCAGCAGTACCAGAACAGGTTACTTCTTTTTTTTTTTTTTTAATAAAATTTTTATTTGGTTTTCTGCTTTTATAAAGACAAAACATACACAAAGAAAAAACAAAGACAAAAACATGTATAAAGACAGCAAATCCCCATTTCATAACCTTGTTCCCTGACTTCCCCCCACCCCCCCTAATGCATCCCAGTTTCAAGATCATGTCAGCAAGTTGATATTTCTCCTCTTAACAATCTTATTCATCTTATTTCCTTTTTTTTTATAATAAAAATTAGTTTTCATAAGTTGGACTTAAGTTCTCTTCCATCGATTTTCAATTTATCTTAATTGAAAGTCATCTTAACCAAACCTAAAAGTCTTGAGAGTTTTTAAGAGTCTCTTCTTCCCTCCCTCCCATCCCCGGTTTTTGTCCCTTCCCAATAAAAATCCAAATTCAAAGTTCTCAGCCTGGGTTCCTCACGTCCGAGGCTTTCAAATCTATTTCCGTTCCTCTCCGCCTGTCCTGTTGGTAGTCCTTTACAGCAGTCGTCAGATCTGGGAAAAGTTCTTTCACCATCAAAGTATATCCTCCTCCAACAAAAAGATTCAAAGGTGGCTGCTGAAGTATTTCCACAAAGTCTATCTCTTCCAAGTCTAAGTCCAAACGGAGACCCCAATCATATTTCTTTATTTTAAATTCCTGTACTCCATTTTGTCTTGGGGCCTCCTCCTTCTTCTTCTGTATCTCTCGCAGACTTGTGGTGAATATGTTCCCAGCGTCTCCTTGCTTGTATTCCACAGATGTCAACTTTTGGTTATTACTTCCCAGGATTACTTCTTCTTTTTCTTGTTGTTTAGTCTCTTCCAGCTCTGTAGATATTGTTTCCCAATCAGCTGTGGATTCTTTCTCATTGAGGTCCTCAATACAAAGAGCAGAGTTGCCTATTCCCAAGGTCATAGTCTCAAGTTGTTTGTTCATGGCCAAACTCTGCTCCTGTAAGATTCCCACCAATTGAAACATCCTTTCGATTTCCACTAGTAACTTTCCTTCCACAGCCATTGTATCCATTGTAGTTTCACAGAGTTCCCCCTAGGGGGAATCTGGTTACTTATTTGCCTTTTCACCAACAATCCTTAAACTGATTATTATTACTTTGTTTCCAATAGTTTCAGCTCAATTATAACTCGTCTTAGTCCATAAAAATCTTAAATGGCAATTTCTCGCTTTAAACCGCCCGTTTGGCAGCTTTGACAGCTGTCAAACTCCGCAGCTCTAACACAGGCACGAAGGCAGGACGTTCCCGAGCCCGGGAGGGGGGGTTGTTTAAAACAGAAGGAAGGTTTCCAAAACTCCACTCTCCTGCACAAAATTTTCCTTTAGTAAAATCTTGAAAGTTAGTGTCCTTTTTAACTCACCCCACCAAGGGTAGGCTCTCCAGCTTATCTCTTGTGTCGTTGCTTAGATGGTCTGCAAGGGGGGGGGTGCGGACTTCCTTTTAGCACACCCCCCGGTCGTCTCCAATTAAAGGTAAAATTTTTCAAAAGTCCCAATCCGTCTTACTCACGGGTAATTCTTTCAGGCCAAATTTTCAAGGAAGGAAGTCAACGCTCTCCGGTCCTGGCTCGCGGCTTCGCTCCAACGAGGTAGCGATCGACTCTCAGTGCCACGCCACCCCCGTATCCCCTCCGCAGCCTTTAAAAAGGCTCTTTGCGAATCAGGGGGGGCGCTTGAGGCACCCGCCGAGTCTTCAGTCCGCAGGCTTTCGCGCCTGCGGTTTTTAAGGGTCCCCGCGTCGCCGGCGCGGCAAAGACCCATCCTCATTGGAGCCGGTTCCCTCCGGAGCTCGGAGGGAATCCGCCATTTCCAGATCGCGTCAACCCGGAAGTCAGAACAGGTTACTTCTGGGTTTCGGCAGTTGCGCATGCTCAGAAGTGCTAAATCACACTTTGCGCATGCGCAGAAGCTCTGAATCGCAACCCATGCATGTGCAGACATGCAGATGCGGGTTGCGAACACTGCAGGTTGCGAACGTGCATCCCACATGGATCATGTTCGCAACCCGAGCGTCCACTGTATTGTCCTTTGCTGCTGCCACTAAAAGCAGAAAAATTGGGGGTGGGGGTTGCATCAGGTCCCTGAACTAGGGAGGCAGACACTCTAATATAAGATAATAAAGCCGGAAAGGATTTTGGAGGAATTGGTGGGTGGATTAAATAAGTTGGCATTTCTTTATTCTGGGAATTACCCAGTATTGTGGCCGCTTGTGAATGAAGAATATAAGATACAATAAGGCAATGCCTTGGCATATGACTGTCACCTGTTGGTCTTTAGCTTACTACTATACTACATTTCGCAGTGCCTCGATATTTAACAAAATACAGTGGTACCTCAGGTTACATACACTTCAGGTTACATACGCTTCAGGTTACAGACTCCGCTAACCCAGAAATAGTGCTTCAGGTTAACAACTTTGCTTCAGGGTGAGAACAGAAATTGTGCTCCGGAGGCGCGGCAGCAGCAGGAGGCCCCATTAGCTAAAGTGGTGCTTCAGGTTAAGAACAGTTTCAGGTTAAAAACGGACCTCCAGAACGAATTAAGTACCACTATATAGAACTGGAGAAGTCTTGACCTGCATGGTTTCCATAGTAGCTTTTAACTCTGCGCTGTGGCCTGGGGCAGCCAAGGAGCAAAGAAATCCACAGGCAGCCTCACTTAATGTGCACCATGTCCAAAGGTTCTGAAATGTATGAATAAAAGAGTGAAAAGTATACATCTTCTCCAGTGTGAACCAGTGTGGTGTAGTGGTTAAGAGCAGTGTACTCGTAACTGGGGAACCAGCTTCGCGTCTCCGCTCCTCCACATGCAGCTGCTGACCTTGGGCCAGTCACACTTCTCTGAAGTCTCTCAGCCCCACTCACCTCACAGAGTGTTTGTTGTGGGGGAGGAAGGGAAAGGAGAATGTCAGCCACTTTGAGGCTCCTTTGGGTAGTGATAAAGTGGGATATCAAATCCAAACTCTTCTTCTCATCCACTTCCCTACAGATTTCTCTTGATGAATGCTTTAGCTGAGATTCCTCCATTGCAGGGAGTTGCACTTGATGACCCTTGGAGTCCCTTTCAACTCTACGATTCTATAAATGGACTTGAGTTTCAGAAAGAATTCTTGCTTTATCCTCATGTTTTCATCACAACATGTCAAAAAAACTGCCTTGCACCAAGTCAGGATACTGTTCCATCTAGGTCAATATTGTCTACACTGACTGGCTCCCCAGGCTTATCTGGGGATGATGGACATTGAACCTGGGATGTCATGCATGCAGCGCGGATGCTCTCCCACTAAGGTACAGCTCTTCATTATTCACATGACTGATAGCCAGGTGACAGAAGCCCTTGAATCCCTTCATTACCCTACATTGGTGCTCAGGCAGAAGATTTGTGATATAGCGCAACCACATCCACTTGTATTGCTTCTCCTTGCACGCCCACGCCCACATGAACACAGATATTTTAGTCCACTGCGACAATAGCTCCTTAATTCACATAACTGCACAAACCTGAATTTCTGGTACACACTTGAATCCTTTCCATAAAATAGCAACAGTCTGGAGGTAGCCTTTATCTTCATGCCAGAAAAAGAAATCACTGCAGGTGACGCTTTTGCTCACATAAAGATCAAGAGAAAGCTTCATCTATTAAATTTCCACGTTCCGGGCCACTGCTACGCACAGAATCAGGCCCAGTGAAAGAAAACACAGCCATGCTATTGTGATCATAGTTAGGAAAACTCATCTGTCCAAAGGTTTCATAGGAATGCATAATTTAGGAATGTCTACTTACATAAACAGTTGGGACAAGTTGTAATATTCACCCTAGCTCCAAGAAGCAAGTGGAGTGTGCTCAGTGCTGGGAACTCTTGGATACACACACCATGTTTTAGAATCCATTTAATGGATGATTTGCAATCTCTACCTCACTTTCTCAACATTTAAAATTAAACCAAAAATATTGACTTACCTCCATTAAAGTGAGAGGATTAAAAAATATAATCTGCAGAACTTTCTCTTGATTGCATACTGCCACTCCTTTATCCAAAGCAATCAAGCACAGAGCAGACAAAAGATGGCTTCTCAAATCCCAGTCGACATAGTGTTGGATG